GTGCTGCATCCTGATGTGCCAGAGCTTGGAGAGATGCCCAAGCAGCTCATTAGCAGTACTCATTTCCCTGTGTCCAAGATTAATGAGGCGCAGCCACTCCAGATGCTCATCTCAGGCCATGATAGAAATGTGAGTCCCAAGAACTGCTCCAGGAGGGGAGGAAGGGGAGCAATTCTCAGCCGGCGGGCGCCTGGCAGGGGTAGGCAGGGATTTCTCCTCCCAGTCCACCTGGAGACTGGTAGCTGGGCGCATGTGGTATCTCAATGAGCAAAACATGAGCTCGCTGTGCGTGCAGGTCAACAGGGTGATTTTAGGTGGAGGGTTTCAGGCAGGTTCCCTGACACAGGTGGGGTCTGTTCCAAGGGAGCAGTGAGCCCAGTGGGGCTGGCAGGAGCTTGTGGGATGCTTAGGCACCACCCCAGCCCTGTGCAGCTGCAACCATGTCAAGCACTTGTGGTCTCAGCAGCAGCAAAGAGGAGGAGGGTTGTGACAGCAGAGCCTGGCAGCTTCCATTATAAACCCAGCCACCAGCCCAAGCACGCTCCGGGGTCTCCTTCCAGAGCTGACCCCAGTGCTTCCTCAGATTAGTCAGCAGAGCCCACTATTATTGCAATTAAATACAGCCCTGGGCAGCTCTGCCAAGCGATAAACCTGTGCTCTCTTTCTCAAAGCATATGATTTTGCCTGCACCTGGTTTAACTGCTTATTACTGCTGGGCAGCAGCTCACTCTTCTCATGCAGTGTGGATGGTAGCCCCAGGCACTTGGGTGGGTGAACTCCACACCCTGACCAGGCGTGCGGTTCAGAGAGGGTGAGCACCAAGCCCTGCCTTTCCCATGTGGAGCAAGGTTATTTTGTAGGGGAGGGCTTCCTTCTTCCCCCTCTGCCTTCATTATCCCTCTCCACTCTGCAAATCCCCCTCTGGAGAAGCAGGTGTTGCTACCTCTAATTAAGGAGAAGGATTCATTACAGCTGGTCCACCACACCCGTGCTATTAGTGGGATTTTCCTGGGGGAAACTTCCCAAGTGTTGATTCCTGCTTGTAATGGGAAAACAGCAGCTCATTGGGTTAGTTACAGCTGGTGGTCCTGGTGGGCATCCCAACTGTCGCAAGCACTGCGTGCTCTGCAGAGGAGTTGCATCCCAAGGGGGCT